AAATACACATCACAAGTCGTCAAAATAAAGACAAGTTTTAGAAAAAAATGGTGTTGAATACATTAAATGTATTGACTGAAGTACAAATTCAATAGATTTTTAACATAAATCACAAGATTCACGGTATAAATCACAAGATTCACGATACAAACCACAAGATTCACGATATAAATCACAAGATTCACAGTACAAATCACAAGATTCACGATATAAATCACAAGATTCACGGTACACAAGATTCACGATACAAATCACAAGATTCACGGTACACAAGATTCACGATACAAATCACAAGATTCACAAATTCACAGTATAATTCACAATATTAAGAATATAAACCACGATATCTTCAAATATATATTTTTTAGCTAGAGAAGAAATATTTCCTTTATGTAATTGACCTTTCTGATAACAATTATATAGTCATTTGTCTTATTAAGATTGTCCCCCGTGGATTTTATGAATGGACACCAATTGATAAAACTTTATTATGAATCAAATTATTTTCGGCGATGTTGTTTTTCTTTTTTTTTATTACAATATTCCAAATTAATATCATGCAACAAGTTTAGCATAATATAACAAAAAAATATCATATAATAAGTTTATCACAAAATTACAAATTAATATTATACAATATTACATGTTTAGAATAATATAACAAATTAGTATCATACAACATGTATACCACAATATTACAAATTAATATGAAATATATATATATGTATACAACATCCGAAGTTTTTTGTATATAGCAATATTAGTACGAATAAATGATAACACGACCAGTTCTTACAAACTGTGCAGACTTGTTAGAAACCGATGATGTGATAATATTTAGCGGCAATATCACCCATACAAGTGGTAAAATTGAAGGACATTTTCATTTATCAAAACAATCTTACTGAAAAGTGAAAGACAAGATCACCTATCCAACTCATCTTAGTGTTGAGTATAGGACATACTCACCTATCTAAACCATACTTGTTAGTTGAATTGAATTTATTAATAACAACAACCTAAATGAACAATGATCCTATATAAAATATTTTTTTGCATTTTTGCATTTTCATCACATTAAACCATAATCTAGATAGCCAGTGTAACCACGGTAACTTGCCACAGAATCAGGCAGTGATGAAACATGTAGGACTTCATGCTGAGTTTTAAGTCGCCGTTCGTGTCAACTAAACAAATACGATATCATCCCATATCTTGTCATATGTGCATTCCAGGGTTTTCAGAGTCCTTGATAAATTATCAACACAAAATACGTGGAATGATCTCTGAAATTATACGGAAATAGAAATGAAGGATTTATTTGAACGGGTCTTTTAAAATCTGTCATTATTATAAGTGATGGGCCATGTCTTAAGAAAGGAATGTATATAACTTCTAGTGAGAATTAAATGACAATAGAAACCATGCCAGGTCTCACCTATCGGCGATGTGAAGGATGTAAAGATATCTTGACATTATGAAGACAAACTTGATGTCAAATAATTTATGTATATCAAGTGTTATTAATAACAGTATGTTCATGGATATCTAAATGTTTGAGGGAATATTCTAAACTAAGACAATATTCCAACACTTTATCCTTTTTCGGCTTTTCATGAATAAAATCACATCAATTAGTCGATAGTGTTTGGCAAGTAATGTTTTTCATTCACACTCAGCAAATTTCTAACAAGTAAGTAAAGCTAATTGAGTTGAATAAAAGCGTTCTTGACTATAGCATTTTGTTATTTTTAATCTTTTGCAATATACCTTTACACATCAATTCATATATATATATAATTAGCATGCGTTTCATATTGATTTTAACATTTTTCCAGCAAATATATAAATAGATCATAAAAAATTATTTGTAAAAATCTGTTTTTGATTATATCATATCTTAAAATCACCTTTCGTCACGCGATCTTGAAGCACATTGTATCTATTATCGGGTACATGTGACCTAATATCGTCACAATCTTGTATTAAGCTTGACATTTTTTTATGCTCGTTAGTGTACCTGGTGATTCCTTGCTATTTACCTTGTTCTCATTTGGGAACGTAACATCACTTACCTGGATTGACCAAAATTTATATGGCCAAGGTCGTCTTTGAAGCAGGAGACGTTCAACCTTCCGGAACTCCTGTCTTATATTCTCGTAAAATTCCTTAAGCCTCGGAGTATTTTTTCATTTCCTATTTCGCCATTGTTTTATCAACTGTGCGGTTAGATTAAGATGTTGATTACATGACAGGATTTTCTTGTTCCCATTCGTCGCCATTTCAGATCAATTGATCAGTTAAAGAAATGCACTATTTAAAGGCAGAATTGGCTATCCATTAAAGCAAGCAGGGCTATCTCTCAAGTCAACGAAGCCTGAGGTTTTACATGAAGTTGCTCAATTTTCACCAAACGTCATACTTATTTTCCTGAAATTTATCTTTTGAAAATGAAAAAGAATGCTACGGACCAAATTTAAAATATTAATGCAAGATTTTCTTTATTTTCAGCTTTACTGAACATCTGTTGATGTAAGTGTAATAATACTAAAATATATTTATCATTTTTGAGTATCGGTAGATAATTGTATCCAAATCAGGTAGAAAGAAACTGAACAGAAAACTTAATCACTACATTAAAACTCCAGGTCAAAAGCATACAAAAAATATGTAGCACAAATATAAAGTGGAAGATAGCTTAGCACTTCAGACAAATGAACATTTTTGAAAAATATCCTTTATCATAGAATGCGATGAAAAATGTAGAAAATGTAGAATGTAACATCCCCAATGTAAATACTTCATTCCCGTTTAATTTTACATCCCTATATAAACCATATTTCATCTTAGAAAACCCTGGTCTAAATGCTATCTGTTAAAAATATCTGGTGAGTGGAAATGACTTACCCAAAATACAAATTAGTATCAAAGTACAATTAAAAGGAATTTGCTTATATTTGAATAATGTCTTGGTCGAGAACATAAAAAATAGATACTCATTCGTAATCTGTTTCTGGTACTTAAATATGATTTAAATTTTAATTTATAAATAATCCAACGAATGGTTTAACTTTTTAACCACTCGTTGGATCGTTAGAATATTGAAATAGTTCCACCTTTCCACCATGCATTCTGCTTCTCGGATTTTTGGTTTGCCAGAAATGTTTTTTGAAGGTTTACCAAAAATGCATGTCAAAGTCATTTCGTTTTGCAATCATTATATGACTTTATCTAAGAGACTTATCAAGCCTTTTGGCTTATCAGAAGAAATTTACCCATGTGAACTTGAATATGGGTATAGGCCATTTCTTTTCACAAACCTAATCGAATTCCATCTCAGAGACTTACCTGCCAGCCTTATAGGCCTTGATGTTAGTCAGGAATCCTTGCTTTAAGATTTTGAACAAAAATTATCCTGTGACGTTATATATGGGTCAAGGTCATTTCTTTTTTGCAAACTGTTGGGCTTCATCCCAGAAACCTACCAGCCAAATATATCATTTTCATTAAATGTTGACACTTGCACTCCAGGTACATAGATTTCATTTTTGTGTCTTATTGCTCACGTTCAGAGCAAATAGGAGGATAGAAGAAAATTATCAAACTAATAAAGACTTTATGAAGATCTTACAATGGTGGTTGTCAGATCCCTTTGGGTACCTCTTTCTAGAGAGCTCGTAATCGGTTTTCCTTAGGCTGGTTATATTTGCTTAGTGTAATAAAATAAGAGACAACTATTGATAATTCAATAACCATTTTTTATTAATATAACATATTTAAAATTTATTGATAAATATCACAAAATCAATAATGTGAAAATACATCATTTAATTTTTAATATCAGTAGACAATATGAATTGCACCAAATCAGATAGAAACTGAATAGAGTAGAAACCTTCATTGTTATTTTTCAAAAACTACAAACAAATAAAAATTTGGAAGATGTTGCACTTTATCAAAAAAATACACCAGAATGTCTTAAATGCTATAAAATAAAAATAGAGTAGTATATATATATATATATATATATGTAATAGCCTCCTATATAATATCACCCCATATAATTATCACATCCCCATACTATATTACCCATATATCTTATGTATCCCATACACTGTATAAAGTATTACATCCCAATATCATTAAGATGTTAAATTACTGTATAAAATTAGATTATAGAAATTGGTCTACATGCTTTCTGTTAAAAAAATATCCTGTAAATAGAATAGATGCTCTCAAAATTTGTAAAAACATTTTAAGAAGACAAAGAAAAAAGAGAGGATAATTGATTACATTAAAATAATGTCTCAATCAAGAATATTGCATACCTTTTGGTTAAGTATTTGCAAATGACCTAAAAAATCTGGGCATTTTTTATCAAGAAAGTAAATGATTGAACATGACAATGTCAGTGCCATATTTATCCTGCAATAAGGCCAGGGAGTCAACCAACTCTGACTCGAGGTCTGGCCTTATTGCAGGACAATAAAATAGCATTACATTGTATGTCTACTTAAAAAGCCTTAATATCATACTTTACCAAAGATACATGGTTGGACTTACTACCATGTGTTACTTATTGCCTGATACACATTATTTTGTTGATCACATCTCTGATTTTTCTCTGTAACACTATAACAAAGTGAGTTAAATTCTGATTATCTCCATAGCCACTTAAAATCTGATTATAATATAAATGTCTTAATAATTACTATTCTCTATTTTTCCTTCTGAAAATATGTACAAATATCCACACTTTTCATTTACATATATTTTGCTGCTCTACGATGTTTTTGTTTTGTATCATTAAATTTTGATATATTTCTTCTCTTCCTTATTACACAAAAAAATATATTATTAAAAAACTGTGAAGTTATTTATATCTGATATTGTTAAATACTAAAAAGCTAAAATCTTAGAATTTCCATATTGTCATCATCAGCGCAAAGTAAAAAGTTATCAAAGTTAAAAAACTGCTCTAACCGTAAAAAGTTGTATATTTATGTAAACAAATTCTTCAGAATATTCTTTGTGGTTGGTTTCCATGTCTTCATCTGCCTGAGACTGAAGTAGCCATACTTGAACTTGCTGTAGCTGTGTTTGCCTGTGTAACCGTAGGCAATACCTTCCTCTGTAGCTTTGTGGGTCTGCACCAGTTTTTGTCCTGAAATCAAGCACCAAAAGTAAATACCAAGGATTTCTAAAATACTGAGTTTATTGTAAAAATCATCTGATATCAATCTAAGTAAACAGTGTTCCTTCAGATTAGCATGATAGTTACATGTCATGTTTTAGCTTACTAACCTTTTTCAAAGCTGAGATGGGTGTTATCTGCAGAACTGTGTGTCACAAGAGCTTTAAGTAGACAACATTGTTCTAGGGGTACACCATGGTAAGGGTATTGGGCCACGTCCCTGTGAGAAATGTCCTGCTCCATCTTGTTTACAGAGACTTGCTCTTCCTCACTGCTTACCCATCCTTGTCTACAGACACGAGGTGGTGGAGCATCATCTTCTTCATCTGAATCCTGGGAGGGCATAGAAAATTTCCTTACAGGTGTTTCCTTGTCAACATGTTGTGGAGACATTTTTGTACGGAGTTCCTGAAGTGTGGAATTTTCCTCTTTTGTGACTGATTTTCTCACTTTCTTGGCATGTTTTGATTGTTCCATCACATCATCACTGATCTCTTGTCTAGATATTTTGTTTTCTCCTGTTGTTTTAGTTTTAGAATGTTTTCTCATGTGGTCATTGGAACATTCACCATCTGATTCTGAAAAAAACGAAATAATGGAAATTCAAATTCAAATTTAAAGAACTTGCTTAATTTCCTTTTTTGGGCTCCACCCCACAAGGTGAATTAAAAACTTGTCAAAACCAATTAATACAGATTATCTCCCTTATTTAAAGCCAAACTAGCATCAATCCCTATTACTCATTGATTTTCTTTTTTAAACTGAACATATGGAAAAAAATGTATTTAAACGATAAAATGAAGTGATACAGATGTGATAAGAAGGGATGATACACATTCCCTATCGTGGGAACATCACTGGCAGACAAAACATGTTTATTCAATAATAATTACCATTTGAATGTTTGGAGGATGAAGACCTCTTCGAAGAAGACTTTGTCTCCTGAGGAGAGGGCGTTGTAAATTTGACTGGAGATTCTAAGATCTGTCTGTATACAGGCTCTGGAGCGGAAGCTGTCTCTGAATATCCCAATTCTCGCAGTTGCTCCTGAAAAATTCATATATAATTTTGAAATCAGACATGTATTAGGAAGTTTTATAAATTTCATTAACACACATTACAGCAATGATCAGATGGTTATCAATTGATAAATATAATAAAAGGTAGTATATCTCTATTTGGTCATCAATTTCTGTTCTGTCATCAGAGAACATCAGTGATATGAATCGCCATTATAGCAACATTCAGAAATAAATATTGATTTGAATACAAAAGTTTCCACACTCAAAGCTTTAAATGGGACTCTACTGAAAGATAGCATCATTAAATTCAAAGTTAACAACTCTTAGAGATACAGACATTCAAATCTATCAAATCAGTGTATGATTACACATTGCTTCATAGGAGAAAGTTCTAAACCTACACTGAGTTTGAGTATTATACTATTCATTTGCACTTACTGCAATGTTTGGAAACTTGTAGACAAAGACATCATCTTTTCTCGTCAAGGACACCTTTGGAAGGTCAATGAATGTTGGCGATACTGATGCCATCAGGTCAAGCGTTGCCTGTGATTTTTCAGTTCTGCAAATAAGAAATTTAAATTCCTTTTTAATTGGTATTAGTGTAATGCTCTGGACAAAATTTAAGTATGAAAAATAATAAATGGCAATTATTCCTAAATAAATGATAAAAGAGTGATGATTCAGGTGCAATGCACTTCTCATTGAAATTTATCTATGTATGAAGTTTCAAGAGCAATAACTCTTATATTATGCAAAACAAGTGATGGTTCTGGTGCACATCCTATTGTTGATATCTATGAAATTCCATGTTTATACCTTTTATAGTTTTAGTGGAATGCTCCTGACAAATTTAAGTATGAAAAATAATAAAGGGCGATAACTCCTTAATTATGCATCAAATGGTTCTTGTGCACTGCACTTCTCCTTGTTAAGATCTATCTACCTATGAAATGTTATATTGATATCTCTTACACATAGATGGATGGATAGACAAAAGGCAAAATGGCTAATCATTATTTTCATGGAGTAAAATATACTCTTGCCTGGTAATAAGCCCACCAGTCTAATAGAATTGAAGTTGAAATGCCAAAAAATGCTGAATATCATTGTCTGTACTGAGCCCCATTCCCCACCTTGTTTGAGGGATAGGTAATGTTTATGTCTCCTGAACCTATTGTAAAATAAATTAGATATATAAAATTCTACCTGTTGGTCTCCTGTTGGTTCAATATCTGTACAAATTTGTTCATGGCAGCATTGCTAACTTTCACTCGTTTTTCTTCAAATTTTTCCATTTCACCTGCTATCCTGATCATACCCTGCAATTAACCATATAACATAATATTGTTGATTTTCTAATTTTATTTCATTACTATCTAACAAGTTTAATTCAGATTCTGGCTGTATGAAATACACCATAAAAAATAATCAATGAAAATAACATGACAAGATCCTTATTTAGATTTCACCAATGAAGAATCACTTATCCAATCACATGTATAATTCATTCCGATTGTCATCAAACTCTCAAAACTCTTTAAAGAAATTGTTAATATGTAGAATGTCAAACTCTCAATAAAATCAGCAGTTATAATGGACTAATGGTAACAGAAAGTGGAGAGAAAATAAAATTGGTTGGCAATCCCTCTAACTTGGGTGAAAATAGAAGAGATGATATATACTCTGTAACATTGTACTCCGGGTATAACAACATTATCAGTACTGATTATAGTGCCAATTCTTTATACCAGGTATCAATATCAAAATTATATTGACAAGTTTTTACCTCTTGAAGATATTTTTGGCTTTCAGCTTCTTCTATCATTAAAGCCTGGCACTGTCTCAGACATTTGTCAAGGCGATTGATCAATTCTTTTTCCAACCCTTTAAGAGTTCTCTGCTCTTTGATCTGACGGGCTGATGCATCTACGTCCAAATTGACACTAATCTGCAGAGCGGCTTGAACATTTTGTAGCTTCTTCTGACATTTTGTTAGTTGTTCACGTATCTTTGTCAATGTCTGGATTGTGAAGAAAATATTTTCATGACCAGGTTATAATATTCAATATCTTGGATAATGAAATGATCAATTATAATTTTACACCAGAAGAAAACTTTCGATTTCATACCGAAGTAAAACACGAAATTATAATCTAGACAAATACAATTGGAATAACACAATATGAAATTTTAAAAATTACCTTTTTCTCCTTTTTCAAAAGTGTGATTTTGTTTGCATGGTCATCAAGCAAGTTGGAATACTGTTTTTTCAATTCTTCTGGTCTCGTTTTTGTTGTAGGATTATCCAACCATCTGTTTTTAATAAAACAGAAACATTTCATATTGAACAGAAAATAATTTCCATCTACACCAAAATGCATACAGGCAAACTGCACTTCAAATCATATGTTTTAATTTAAAACATCAATAAAAAATACTTAATGTTTCACCTTTGGTTTATTCAACAAGAGCATACCACCAATATTTTATCACATTATTAATTACAAGCTAAGGACTTTCCTGAAGGCTGAATTTTACCTTTTAATTGTTTCATACGGTCCATCAACTTCAGCTAATTTGGACACCATGGCCTGTTGGAGGACGACAGTACTTTTCATGTATGCCAGGTATTTTTCCTTAAAATTCTCAAACAGGTTGTGACTTGATGCTGTGAACAACACCAGGTACAAAAAATGTACTTATATCAATGGAATATTAAGTTAAGTTAAGTTTATTTCCGGTTCAGGACTAAGACAAGTCCTCTACACCAGACTCATATATGTAAATACATAATATACAGGTATAGAAAATACACATGTACATAAATATAGCTATAGTTAAAGTTTGATTGTTGCCCTATAGTTATAATAAAGTTCTTGATTCTTCCAGTGGTTGTCCAGTTTGTTTTTAAAAGAGTTTATATTGGGTGCCGATACTACTTCTTCAGGTAGACTATTCCATATTGATACTGTTCGTATTGAAAAAAAGTTTTTCCGTAACATGTTGTTGCTCCGTTTGGGGAATATTTTTTTTGAATTTCCTCGACTGCTGTGGCGATCTGCCACATCTCTCCATAGTGGTACAGACGTGCAACAATCTTTATCATAAACATTCAATATTTTATATAATTCAATCATATCACCTCTGATTCTTCTAAAGGCCAAAGTTGGTAATTTCAACTTTTTTAATATGTCAATATAGCTTAAATTTTGCATCCCTGGGAGACTTTTGGTAGCTCGTCTTTATACAGCCTCGATCTTGTCTATATGTTTCTGTAAATGTGGCGACCACACAGCACTAGCAAAATCCATATGGGAACGAACAAGACTTTTATATAGTGGAATAAATAATTTAAAATCCATAAACTGGAATGTTCTTCGTATTAATCGTATTAATATTGGTCTCTCTGGGACATGGAAATATTCTCCAATTATATATTTCACTCTGTGAAGAGTTAACAGGAAAATAAGTTTTGATAAAAAAATAATACCCGGTAAGACTTTTCAAAAAATTTAATGTAAAGATTTTGCATCATTTCCTAGCAGTATCAATATTGACATTTTATGAAGGGAAGTTACTGTGTATGGCTTGTAAACTTCACTATATTTTGAAAAGAATATGTAATATATGGAATATAGTTATTATGACAACGCATTAAAAAAAAGAGAAATTCCAAAGCTATTAACATTGTGTTAAGCAGATCTACATCACCACATGCCACGAGACCTCGAACATTACAAATGCTAAATGAACCAACCAAATCAATAGGCCTAGTGTTGAAAAGGCTTCATTCAGTAATCAAAAATGCCTGTGCAGATATGTTTAGAAGATATGACATTTAGTACTTACCACTCTCATTCAATGATTTCAAAGAAGAATTATTTTGCTTTTCAATCAGTTGTAGTTGAGATGACTCATACCCTAGTCGGTCTTTGATGATATGTTTGATATGTCCGGCTATCCTGAAATAGTTAAAAATAATATATTTATTGTCAGTGAACCTCGAGTTTTCTTGTAATCTTGAACTGGGACAACAGACAATAAACGTGCCTGTTCACGGGACTCGTTACGATAGAATCATAAATATTTCATACATTCTTTTTAAATATAATGATACCGTTTGCTCTGGTTTTAAAATGCTGAATCTCGGTTGAGTATTACATACTGATGTCATGAATGCGGTCTTGAAACCTAAACATAATACTCTACTTGTGTTTTTACCCTCAAATATTCATCTTAAAATGATAAAGGACTTACTCTCGTCCCTTGACGAGACTGTCAATTGTTTCTTCTTTCAGTATACGCATTCTACAGCTCATTTTCTTCGGAGGACTTTCAGTACACGACTCCATGATTGATTCACAAATGGAATATGGCGCCTTAGCAACCCTCCAAAAGTCACGTGCAAATAGCTGCGACATCTATTGATAAACTTTACGTACAAGGGGAGGTAACCTTATTAAACGTGTCTTGGATTTTCACTTTTTCAACATTCGGTTAGCAAGAAAGTTGCAGTATGCGTGTTTGTTTTGTGCGGAAATATCAATTTACTTCAAATGTATCTTCTTTTAGACCATCATTTCCTCGTGTACATATTTTGCATTTGTGTTTATTGAATATTTTTTTTTTGTGGTTTTTTAATTATCCGGGCCTTTTTTTTTTAGTAAGAGTTATGTCCCTTGTGTCGTAGCCTAAAGGATGGGCTGTCGTCTGATTGCTCAGTTAAAAACAGGGGTCGCTGAGATCAATCTTATCGGTCAGTTTTAAGGACTATGTAAGTGATCAATTAATCTTTTTATGTCTTATATGGGGAAGACATTTTTTTGGTCTTTTTGACTTTTTTATGATGTTGTATCTACTATTTAGAGTTTCATTACTTTTTCGAGAAATTTCAATCTTCAAATTCATGATACTTTGTCAACTTTGAGAGTGACATTCTTCATTCCTATCCTCTGTTGCGTCCTTTTACATTTATATTATTATCACTAACAACAGGCAAACAACATAATTATATAATTCTTCATGTTCTATTAAGATTTGATATTTATAGTTTTATCCACGTATTAAAGGAAATCTATTTGAAAACTGAATGAATCGCATAACTGCTGGCGTGACATGACGTGACGTGCGTAAAAACGTTGGTTACTTATATAAACTAAAATAATCTCAACACCTTTCCAGGAAATGTGAAGTCAAGAAATTTAAAACGTTTAAATGCAACTTTTAACCTTTAAATCCTTACATGGATCTTGCAATATTTCAAATTAAGTCAATTTGACCCCTTTTGGTCCTGTCCATCATGCCCCTTGGAACACAATTTTAGTTTGTCTTTTGCCATGAAAGGCTCGGAGGTGTTTGAAAGGAATTGTACAACTGGCGACTACCCAATAAAAATACCAAATGGGCCCGCATCGTTCACCGCGTAATTAATGTTCATCACAGATACATTAAACATATACACCAATCAACAAATCCTATCATTTTAACCAATTTATAAAAAAAACTTACGTTTCTAAACAGTGATATTTATGACCTGCATTATCTGTAAATGTCACTTTTCCTCTCCAAAATTTTGTACAAAAGTTGACACCTATCTAAGAAATAAGCTCACTTGCACTTTGGCCAGGTAAGCTCAAAAGAGTCATCTTGGTCAGTTATAGTTATTCCCATATTTCTTGAAGTACTGGGAGGATATTTATTTAGGTATGTAGGTTATATTTCTGTGTCTTATTGCTCACATTCAGAGCAAACAGGCGGATAGAAGAAAATTATCAAACTAATAGAGACTTTATGAAGATCTTACAATGGTGGTTGTGGGACGCCTTTGGGAAACCTCTTTCTAAAGTGCTTGTAATTGGCTCTCCTTAGGCTGGATATATTTGGCTAGTGTAATAAAATAAGAGACAAATATTGAAAATTCAATAACCACTTTTTTATTAATATAACATATTTTAAAATGTAATGATAAATATCACAAAATCAATAATGTAAAAATACATCATTTAATTTTTAATATCAGTAGACAATATGAATTGCACCAAACCAGATAGAAACTGAATAGAGTAGAAAACTTATCATTATTTTTTAAAAACTACAAACAAGTAAAAATGTGAAAGATGTTACACTTTATCAAAGAAAATACACCAATTTGTCTTAAATGCTATCAAATAAAAATAGAGTAGAACATCTATATATGTAATATCCTCCTATATATAACATCACCCCATATAGTTATCACATCCCGATACAATATTACCCATGTCTTATGTATTCCATACACTGTCTAAAGTATCCCAGTATCATTAAGATATTAAATTACTGTATAAAATACTAAATACTGTATAAAATTTCATTACAGAAAACTTGGTCTACATGCTTTCTGTTAAAAAATTTACTGTAACTGGAATAGATAATCTCAAATTTTGTAAAAAAAAAAAAAAAAACAAATAAAAAGACAAAGAAAAAGAGAGCATAATTCATTATTAGGTGTTTGCAAATGACCTATAAAAATCTGGGCATTTTTTTCTCAAGAAAGTAAATGATTGAACATGACAATGTCAGTGCCATATTTATCCTGCAATAAGGCCAGGGAGTCAACCAACTCTGACTCGAGGTCTGGCCTTATTGCAGGACAATAAAATGTTACTACATTGTAATTCTACTTAAGAAGCAATAATACCATTCTTTACCAAAGATACATGGTTGGACTTACTACCATGTGTTACTAATTGCCCGATACACAATATTTTGTTGATCACATCTCTGATTTTTCTCTGTAACACTATAACAAAGTTAGTTAAATTCTGATTATCTCCATAGCCACTTAAAATCTTATGATAATATAAATGTCTTAATAATTACTATTCTCTCTTTTCCTTCTTAAAGTATGTACAAATATCCACACTTATTATTTACATATATTTTGCTGCTCTACGATGTTTTTGTTTTGTATCATTAAATTTTGATATATTTCTTCTCTTCCTTATTACACAAAAAATATATTTAAAAAGCAGTACAGTTATTTATATCTGATATTTATAAATACTAAAAAGCTCAAATCTGAGAATTGTGATATTGTCATCATTGGCACAAAGGTAAAAGTTATCAAAGTTAAAAAACTACTCTAACCATAAAAAGTTGTATATTTATGTAAATAAATTCTTCAGAATATTCTTTGTGGTTGGTTTCCATGTCTTCATCTGCCTGAGACTGAAGTAGCCATACTTGACCTTGCTGTAGCTGTGTTTGCTTGTGTAACCGTAGGCTATACCTTCCTCTGTAGCTTTGTGGGTCTGCACCAGTTTTTGTCCTGAAATCAAGCACCAAACGTAAACGACAATGATTTCTAAGATACTGAGTTTATTGTAAAAATCATCTGCTATCAATCTAAGTAAACAGTGTTCCTTCAGATTAGCATGATAGTTACATGTCATGTTTTAGCTTACTAACCTTTTTCAAAGCTGAGATGGGTGTTATCTGCAGAACTGTGTGTCACAAGAGCTTTAAGTAGACGACATTGTTCTAGGGGTACACCATGGTAAGGGTATTGGGCCACGTCCCTGTGAGAAATGTCCTGCTCCATCTTGTTTACAGAGACTTGCTCTTCCTCACTGCTTACCCATCCTTGTCTACAGACACGAGGTGGTGGAGCATCATCTTCTTCATCTGAATCCTGGGAGGGCATAGAAAACTTCCTTACTGGTGTTTCCTTGTCAACAGGTTGTGGAGACATTTTTGTACGGAGTTCCTGAAGGGTGGACTTTTCCTCTTTTGTGACTGATTTTCTCACTTTCTTGGCATGTTTTGATTGTTCCATCACATCATCACTGATCTCTTGTCTAGATATTTTGTTTTCTCCTGTTGTTTTAGTTTTAAAATGTTTTCTCATGTGGTCATTGGAACATTCACCATCTGATTCTGAAAAAAACGAAATAATGGAAATTCAAATTCAAATTTAAAGAACTTGCTTAATTTCCTTTTTTGGGCACCAACCCACAAGGTGAAGTAAAAACTTGTCAAAACCAATTAATACAGATTATCTCCCTTATTTAAAGCCAAACTAGCATCAATCCCTATTACTACATATAGAAAAAAATGTATTTAAACGAATAAATGATGTGATACAGATGTGATAAGAAGGGATGATACACATTCCCTATCGTGGGAACATCACTGGCAGACAAAACATGTTTATTCAATAATAATTACCATTTGAATGTTTGGAGGATGAAGACCTCTTCGAAGAAGACTTTGTCTCCTGAGGAGAGGGCGTTGTAAATTTGACTGGAGATTCTAAGATCTGTCTGTATACAGGCTCTGGAGCGGAAGCTGTCTCTGAATATCCCAATTCTCGCAGTTGCTCCTGAAAAATTCATATATAATTTTGAAATCAGACATGTATTAGGAAGTTTTATAAATTTCATTAAAACACATTACAGCAATGATCAGATGGTTATCAATTGATAAATATAATAAAAGGTAGTATATCTCTATTTGGTCATCAATTTCTGTTCTGTCATCAGAGAACATCAGTGATATGAATCGCCATTATAGCAACATTCAGAAATAAATATTGATTTGAATACAAAAGTTTCCACACTTAAAGATTTAAATGGGACTCTACTGAAAGATAGCATCATTAATTTCAAAGTCTTTTAACAACTCTTAGAGATACAGACATTCAAATCTATCAAACCAGTGTATGATTACACATTGCTTCATAGGAGAAAGTTCTAAACCTACACTGAGTTTGAGTATTATACTATTCATTTGCACTTACTGCAATGTTTGGAAACTTGTAGACAAAGACATCATCTTTTCTTGTCAAGGACACCTTTGGAAGGTCAATAAATGTTGGCGATACTGATGCCATCAGGTCAAGCGTTGCCTGTGATTTTTCAGTTCTGCAAATAAGAAATTTAAATTCCTTTTTAATTGGTATTAGTGTAATGCTCTGGACAAAATTTAAGTATGAAAAATAATAAAGGGCAATTATTCCTAAATAATACATACAAGAGTGATGATTCAAGTGCACTGCAATTCTCATTATTGAAATTTATCTATCTATGAAGTTTCAAGGGCAATAACTCTTATATTATGCAAAACAAGTGATGGTTCTGGTGCACATCCTATCGTTGATATCTATGAAATTCCATGTTTATACCTTTTATAGTTTTAGTGGAATGCTCCTGACAAATTTAAGTATGAAAAATAATAAAGGGCAATAACTCCTTAATTATGCATCAGATGGTTCTTGTGCACTGCACTTCTCCTTGTTAAGATCTATCTACCTATGAAATGTTATATTGATATCTCTTACACATAGATGGATGGATAGACAAAAGGCAAAATGGCTAATCATTATTTTCATGGAGTAAAATATACTCTTGCCTGGTAATAAGCCCACCAGTCTAATAGAATT